CGAGCCGCCGCGAACGCGTGCCGCCGCGCCCCCGCACGCAGCCCGCGGCCTCGCGAGGCCGGCCGGGCCCGGCAGGGCCGCGCGCCCCCGCAGCCCGCGGCTTGTAAACAGATCCGGCCGCACGTGACCATGTGAACTACCTGCTCCAGGCTGCGTATTGTCTCTTCGGAGAGTCGCGCCACAAAGAAGCGGGTGGGAGAGCGGCCGGCGCGCTAAGATGGCTGAAGGCGCCCGGCGAGGGTGAGCTGGGGGCGCGGCCGCCGCGGAGACTCGGCCGGGCGACCCGCCTCGGCCGGCCCCTGGAGCTACCATGTCGTTCGCGCTGGAGGAGACGCTCGAGTCCGACTGGGTGGCGGTGCGGCCCCACGTCTTCGACGAGCGCGAGAAGCACAAGTTCGTGTTCATTGTGGCCTGGAACGAGATCGAAGGCAAGTTTGCTATAACCTGTCACAACCGAACGGCCCAGCGGCAGAGGAGCGGTTCCCGGGAACAGGCGGGCACACCCGCGCCCGATGGCAGCGGCGGGCCCGGCAGCCCGGCGGCCCGGGGTCGGCCCGAGGCCGCCGCCTCGGCCACGGCGCTCCGGAGCCCCGGGGCGCGGAGGAGCCCGGCCTGGGCCGAGGGCGGCTCTCCGCGCAGCGCGCGCAGCCCGAGGGGGGATCCTTTCCGGGGTCCGGCGGGCAGAGGACCGGAGAGCCCCCATCGTAGCCCCGCGCTGGCCAAGGCCAGCCCGCTCCGCAGGGGCCCGGAGCCCCGAGATGCGACCGCCGCTTCCACGCCAGCCCCGCCGGCGCCCCCGGTGTCGTCCGTGAGGGTGGTGAGCGCGTCCGGGGCGGTCTCCGAGGAGATCGAGGTGCTGGAGATGATGAGGGAGGACGAGGCGCCGCAGCCGCCGCACCCCGACCCGGAGCGTCCGCCGTCCGCCGCGGAACTGGAGTCTTCCGCTGAAGAGTGCAGCTGGGCCGGGCTCTTCTCCTTCCAGGACCTGCGGGCCGTGCACCAGCAGTTGTGCTCAGTCAACTCGCAGCTGGAGCCGTGTCTGCCGGTGTTCCCGGAAGAGCCGTCCGGCATGTGGACGGTGCTGTTTGGGGGCGCCCCCGAGATGACCGACCTGGAGATAGACGCTCTGTGTTACCAACTCCAGGTCTACCTGGGCCATGGCCTGGACACGTGTGGCTGGAAGATCCTCTCCCAGGTGCTTTTCACCGAGACGGACGATCCGGAGGAGTATTACGAAAGCCTCAGCGAGCTGCGGCAGAAGGGATACGAAGAGGTGCTTCAGCGGGCCAGGAAGCGCATCCAGGAGGTGAGTGCCTCATCCAGGCGGGGGTTCCCGGCTTTGGTGTCTCACCGTCATGGGCTGGAGCCAGGGTTTGGGGTGTTCGCCGTGTGTAATATCCACAGGAAAAGGGGGGGGGGTGTCCTGATTTGGCTTTCTTCTTTAATTATCTGAGCGAAGGACCTTTGAGAAATCTTTGGGGATTCTTTCTCCCCTCTTCTTCTTTTTCTCTCCAAAGAGTACACAGTTTACTAAATATAGGTAGAGATGAAACCATTAGAAAAACAGGTATTCTGTAAACTTAAATAACATGAATGCTACTCCACACCTAAAGCGACAATAACTTACAGAGACATCAACTTTTCTTTCCTGGTGTTATGTTTATGTAGTGAAAGTAGTTGTTCCTATGGAACAAAGTTGATGTGCTTTTTTGTTCGATTTGTGCAACATAGGCAGGTATGAAATTCACTTTGCAGTTTTTTGTTGTTGTTGTTTTTTTTTTTTTTTGAGTGGCTGAAAGTGTACCATTGAGCTACAACCCTGCTCTAAGTTCATTTTAAGTGTTTTAACTTGTCCAAATAAGAAAGAAGCAAATGACAATTGACACAAATAAGTTTTTAGGCTATCCAGCTTCACTTCTGTTAGGGAAAAGGAAGGTCAAGGGCAGAGATGCTCATGATTTTGTATGTAGTGTGAAAACTTTTCCATACCCTTTAATTCTTTAAAGGGGAAATGCCTGAACAGCCATACATATAGAGCTCGCCAGTGCATGTTTATAAAGTCATGCCTCCTTACCAGCTTCTGTTGAAACTTCCTGAAAAGAGTAACTTATTAAGGTGGCTCTTCTTAAGGGACAGTATATAGTTTTTCAAAACAGTTCACTATTTTAATGTCAATATGTACTCTGGTTGGATTTGCGATGGAGAAAAGAGCCTTTTTACGGAATTTTTATTCCTGACCTGGTGTCGTTTGTATGTATATTTAATTGCTGTTAGGCCAGGAAGCTGGAACCTTTTGGGTTTCTTCATAGAATATTAAGTGATTCTCTTTGCTAGACTGAGTATTTAGGAACTACTTATTTTCTCACGTATACCACCCACAGTAAGTACATTTACAACTTCTGTATCTTCACTCTTCCTTCTGTAAGACTTCACTCTTAGCTCATGCCTTCAATCCCAGCACTTGGGAGGCAGGGGCAGGTGGAGATTTGTGAATTTGAGGCCAGCCTGGTCTGAGTAGTGAGTTCAGGACAACCTGTCTTGAAGGGAAAAGGTTCTTAAGATCCTCACTCCTTCCCTTTGGAACATCACCCATTATAGTCTGTTCCTAGAGCTCAAGGGATCTGTTTTCGTTTCCCCCTTAATTATCTCACTTACTGGAGACCGTCTTTATCTTTTTGGAAAGAGGTGACAAATGTTGTGTTCATATTACTAACGCATTTCTTTTCAGCTTTTGAAACTGTTTTTATTCAGTTATGTGAGTGAGTGCATATGTACCCTAGCTTCTCAACCTAGAAATTATAGCCAGCTAATGTTTTCCAAACTAGAAGCTTTTTATCCCTCATTTAGAAAATGCCTGGTTTCAACCTTAAAGACACTTTAAAAACGTGCTTGTCTGGGTTTAAAAGTGAGCTTCCAGAAATTTAGTTTTCTAGAACTCAATTTTGAAAGTTAGTTTTTTTCTAAAAGAACATTTTCTTAGTTAAAATTCTCTTTGAGGCGTTTTTTTAAATAAAAAAAATTTTAATTAAGGTCTCATTCTGTAGCCAGAGTGGCTTGGAAACTCCCAAATTGGCCTCAAACTCTTGATCCTCTCCTAAGTGCTGAATTACAAGTGCAGAATTACAGAGTTCCCGACTCTGTTTTATTCTCCTTAACAGAGGAGAAACCAAAACAAAACAATTTTTAAAGAGTGTTTTTGTTTTGGGAAACATGTTTATTTATAAACTCATTAACAGTAAATACATAATCTTTTGGTTCTTTATGAAGTTGACTTGAATGGTATTTCAGGAATAGCTCTCAATGATAACAAACAAGTTTGTCTGTAATACCTACCATGAATTATACTGGAAGATTAAGTTGAATGTGGAGATAAATGAGTAATGTCTGCCGTGGACATAATGATGGAAGTGTATCAAGAACACTTCTAACTAACGCTTCTAACTTCATGTAAGTTGTTGATGCTTCTCTCGATGCTTACATTTTCTATATTAGTAGTTTGCTCTGGTGGGGGGAGGGTATGTGCGGTGATTTGCAGTATGCTAACCAAGTATTCTGTCAGTGAGCTACAGTATGTCATCCCTTACAGTAACATTGGTTGGCGAAACAGGACTCTAGTTCAGGCTGGTGTTGAACAGCTCGGGTTTCCCTTGAGCACAGCATCTTGCACCAGCCTCTCTAGCACTGAGATGATAGGCATGCCCCTCACCTACTTGGTTTTTTTGAGATAAAATCTGTTTTATAGCAATTGTACATCACTTGTATTAGTTCTGTTGAGTTCATTTTTATTGTACTTCGCTTAGTGTTGTCTTTCATTCGGTATCTCAACAAAGCTTGTGGAATTGGACATAATTATTTATACTAGATATGTCTGGTAAATCGCATGTTTTAGCAGATAATATTTTGAAAATGTAGTTGTTTATATATTTTCTTCTTATATATTTCTTTCTTGTTTATATATTTTCTTCCCTCATAGTATGACTTTTTCCTAGATATAAATTCCATACTTGTTTTTGTTCAAGATGAACAGAGGTTTTATTTCCAGTTATAGTATTCAAACACAGGGCCTGGTACATGCCAGGCAAATCCTCTACCACTGAGCCACAGCTCCAGCCCTCCCCTTGAAAAAAGTATAAAACATTGTAACATCTCAGGGCCACAGACCTTGAAAGGATGGAGTTCTCTGCTTTGTCACTGCTAGTTCAGAGCACTTAATATTAGTGAATGAGACATATCCTTTTAAGGTAAGTTTTTATAAACTGACAAATGTTTATTCTTCAAGGAAGTTGCTATAAGAAATAGATTAAAAGCGTATCATGAGATGGGGGAGAGCAGAGGCAGGTGGATCTCTGAGGACAGCTTGGTGTACAGTATGAGTTCCAGGGCAGCCAGGGCTACACAGAAAAACCCTGTCTTAAAAAAAAAAAGGATTAAAATTCTCTTAAAATTGTTAAGTTTTTAGATTTGGAGACAAGGTCTCATGTAGCTCAGGCTGTCCTCAGATTTATGATCCTCCTACTGGGATAACGTGGGTGTCCCAACTCTTGGCTTGTTACATTTTCACACACCAAAAAGGCATGGGGGCCTGGAAGAACAGTTTATGGAGTGCTTGTCTGACTTAGGAAGCCCTGGCCTCAATCCCCAGACAATCCTGATGGAGTAGCCCACACCGTAGTTGGAGTAGTGAACACCATAGTCTCAGCACTTGGTAGGTGGGGCAGGGGGATCAGAAGTTCAAGGTTATCCACTGTGTAGCCAGTTGAAGCCAACCTGGAATACATGAGACCCTGTCTAAAAAAAAAAAAAAATCAACATTCCAAACAAAAACCACTATTGTAAAATATTTGCCCTGCTATAAAAGGTTGTGAGACTTGAATTGGAATTTAATATTTGGAATAACCTTAAAGTTTAATATGGGTTACCAGGTCTATACTCAGAAACTCAGGAGGCTAAGGTGGGAGAATCATAAGTTTAAGACCTGCCTGGTGAATTTACATGAAATCCTATCTATCATAAAATAATAGAGCTGTGGAGATAGGTCCATGGTAGAACACTTGCCATTGTGTGTGACACCCTAGGTTCAAAAGTTGGTATTGGGGAACTTAAGCCCTCCCATTTCTGTTTTCTACCGGAAGTTTTTGTTCATGATTTACAGCTTTGGGTAACTGACTGGAGATTGTAGTTCATGAGGATTTACAAGTTATAAAGTAATATACTATTAATTATTTTTAGATGAAAGATGCATTCTGAGATTATAGACTATTAAAGCTTTAGTATAAGTAAATTAAAACAAAGCTTTAGTCTAAATAAAATGAAATATTTGTTGTTTTTGTTTTGTTTTTGATTTGGTTTGTTTCTGAGACAGGGTTTCTCTGTGTAGCCTTGACTGTCCTGGACTGGCTTTGTAGACCAGGGTGGCCTCTGCCTCCCTGTGTGCTGGGATTAAAGGCATTTGCCACCATGCCTGGCTAGTATTTATTATTTGTAGTTTTTCTCTTGGACTTCTTACATGGGTTTATTGTATCTACTGTTATGCTGCAGTCAGGCAATTTTTATTTGGGTGTAAGTACTATCAAGACCTCTTTGAACAGTGTAGCAGTTGATCTTAGCTCTTGGTCAGAGCTAAGGTTTGTGTTACTGTTTGTGCATAGATGGCTTAAAGTTTTAACTTTGACCTATATTTTGCAAATAATGGTTTCTTGTCTAATCACAGCTATTCTTCAGAATTGATTGTGTTGTTTTAGTTTGTAATTATCAATTACGATGGAGGCTTCCTTAAGATCTCAATCTGTTTACTATGGAATTTATTATTCATCAATATGCTAAATTCTAACTTCTTTCAAGTTAAAACCATTAAGAGCAGAAAGAACTTTCAAAGAGGTACTCTGTACAACTTACAAGGCTATGGAGTCAGAACAGTCTAGATTTTGATTAGGACTCATTACTTTTGATAGCATGATTAACTATTTAGTCTCTTAGATGAGAGATGGAGAAATCACCAAAAAATGTCTTTTAACTTAGGACTGTAGGAAATCGTAACTGCCTGACATTTACAAAGGTAGCTTCTAATAAGTATGGCTTTTGACTTTTTTTTTTCTTTCATGTGATCAGGATCTTGTAGTTTTTCATTCCATCTTTTAAGGATTGCAACTTGTGCTTATTAGCACTACTTATGTAACAAGTTCCAAATATTCCTGGTGGAATCCAGCTTAAATGCTAGACAGCGTTCTACCCTTGAGCTGCATCCAGATCAGGTGGATGTCTGCCTATATCATTGAAGGCAAAGCTGAGGTTTAAAATGCTCATGGC